TAAAGCAAGAGAGTAAACAGTAAATAAGCAACAAGCAAAATTAAAAACAGTAATGAGCCTTATGAATATGGGAGTGTTATAAGGCTTGAAATGCATTTATTTTGGAGCTTAGCATGTTCTGGGAAAACTTGATGACTTTGTGAATGTATTGTCTCATTTTACATTGCAGAAATTCTGCTTATTGGCCCTGGAGGCTGACACCGACCCGACACCTGTGCCCAAATGTTTTCCAAACCTTGGCAGCGACAGGCATGTTCATTATGCAGCAGAGTTGTGGATCCATGTGTCCTCAAGGCAGGGGAGAGCAGCAGACTTTACCCTTGCAAGGAGAAACAGTTGAGTAGCAAAATGAGTGGGGCAGTGGATTTACTAACATGACCCATCTTCATGAAGACTGGTGCTTCCGTGTCTGTGCACCACTAGTGCCAACCACAGGTTAGGGGAACTTTGCTTTGGTAAGTGAATACTGGGTGCAGGAGATCTCATCAGAACTGGGAAACCTCAAGATGTTTAGTTTTTCTATCAGCTAAAGGAATTAATAAATTCATGTTTGTAGTGCCTTTTAGCATGGATCCTAGCTACAAATAGCATTTGCATATTGGGAAGAGAGTAGGTTTAGATTGCATATTGAGAAGACATTCTTCCTTGTGAGGGTTGTGAGGCCCTTGCACAGGTCCCTTAGAAGCTGTGGCTGCCCCATCCCTGGAAGTGTTCAAGGCCAGGTTGGACAGGGCTTGGAGCAACCTGGTCTACTGGAAGCCGTCTCTGCCGTGGCAGGGGGTTTGGAATGAGATGATCTTTAAAGTTCCTTCCAACCCAAACCATTCTATGAGTCTGGGATGGAAAAGCATTTGTTATTTTTTGAGGGCCCCTAAATAAAGTCTGACAGAGAAAGGTGAAACAGTAAAGATATATCCTGTGTTAAATAAGGTTTGTGATTATTCTGAATCATCTAAAAAAATAGTTCAGTGAAAACATATGCAAGATTAAACAGTTGTGCAATCCCCAGGGTTCAGCAAAGGAGACATTAGTGTTTTACCTATTGATAAGTTCAAGGTTGATTACTTTAGGAAAATGTCAGTTTTTCATTAAAAAAGCATTTTGCATAAGTGAAAATCCTGGTCTCTAATGTCACTTCCATGGTTTCTGTGTGGCCATATCTACAATAAGGATAGAATTTCATTAAAGCAAGGCCTGAAGCATACACAGGTGGATTTTATTTTTAAATAGGACTATCTATATAGATTATAAGAGGAAACTTTTGTGAATGTTGTATTTCAGAAGCACTGGTAAGCAATTAGGATCATCCATTTAGTGAATTTTGGTGGTCAGAAAGGCATTAGCTAGGATCAGGTTTTCTCATTCATCATACCCTGTTACTTATGGATAAACAAGGTGATACGGTGTCTTGTTAATTCTCAGATATCATTATATAATATAATTGTGTTCTTCAGAGGCTGTTGAAGGCCATTTCCAATTACCATTGTATATAGGAAACATTGGTTTTAAAACAGTGAGGTTAAGTGTGACACAGCAAACACAAAGCAATCAGGTCACTGGGGTGTGTGCTGTGTTGGGAGAACGGTTGTTTCTGTGTGTGTGCACTGCAGGAGAGAGCAATTTTGTGTATTGAAAGCTTGAACTGACCATGACAGTAAGAAAGGTATTTGGCTTTTTTGAAGACAGAATTCTAGATGCCAAGATCACTGGGTTCATGCTACTACCCAGATGAATTTGGGAGTGTGCCAAGAAACTAAAAGCAGCTGATAAACCCCAGAAAAGTTGTAAATCAAAAGCTAGAAAGCTTTTGAAAAATTTAAAAAGCGGGAAATACATAGACATGATCATATAATTCTGAAAAAGAGCTTTGATTGCCTCATGGAGACTTTTATATGCCAGCATATCAATGGTCAGACTCTGAGAGCTTTGCACTTTCTAATGAATATCCCAGTAGTTTGCATGTTTCTATGAATATTATCTCTCTCTCAAATGATGAGCTTAAAACCTTAACTTTGCTGGGGTTTTATGTGTATCCTTTAATCTGGACTCTGTATTGGTGGGATTATTCCCATGAATGAGGTTTTGCAGGCTTGGTCCCAACATTTATGTGACGGATTATATTGACGCATTTGCTACATCACTGGTCAAAATGAATTCAGCTGTGTTTGTGCACATGGTGCTGTGTCAGCTAGAACTCCCTTTCTCAGGAGATCGTCCAGTAAAGAACATGAATTAAATGCTGCACAATTCTTCTGTACCAAAGAAGCAAAAGGCAAATCTCAGATCCTCTCTTCTGCTGCTTCAAACTTCATTCAGAAGCATGATCTAATTGTTCTCCAACTATTGCTTCAAAAGCAAGAGCCCCAAATGCCACTCAGCTGTCAGTTCTAGAAACAGAAAAACTCATGCTGAATCTTTGGGGAAAAGAGAATGAAAAACTTTCTATAGGCTTTCTGTGCATCTTGAATGTGTGTTTTTAAACTGTTTCCCTGATCATTTACTCTTCTTTCTCCTTTCTTCTGTTTTAATGCTGTAAGATAATATAATGTCCATTGCTTATCATATTTCTGGCCTTTCCTATTTCTTTTCTTCTCTGAGTTTAGTGTGAGCTCTTACTTGGCATTATGGGTATGTGTATAATTAATTTTAAAAAACACTGTCAATTCTACTGATATCAAAAGTACTATTAGTATGCAATTAGTATGCACATACCTAAACATCTGGCTGAGCTGTAGCTTTATGCATTCAGAAATATGGATATTCTTGCAAAATCCATGGATTTCAATCCATATCAGTTGAACTGTTCCCATTTTCAGTAATGAGATTTTGAAAAGGCTCTGTATAAAAAAAAGTTTTAAGCTACTTGTACAATGGCCAACCTCAGAAAGCACCTGAAAAAATGTTTGCACACTAGGAAATTAATGCTACTAAAGAGCAATTCAGACCTGAAAACTATGGCAGATACCACAGCAGTCATCACAATTTGCATGCCATGAACTTTTCATGACTCTGTGCTTCTAATTTATCAGTTGTTCTCTTGCATAGAAATCAGTTAAATAAGTACAAGGTTTATTATTACATGCAGAAAACTGCATTAAAAGAAAACCTTACAGCTGCAAAGTTAGTAAATACCTAACTAAGTTAAGAATTAAGTTAGCAGCCTTAGTTCATCCCCTTTGCCTGTACTTACAGTGCTACACCCTGTTTCTCCTTGGCATGCAATCCTGGAGGCAGCCAAGAAGTTGAGGACCTGACAAGAGCAGGTAGATCAGCTGGTAGATCAGAGGCACAGCCACTGCAATGCTGGTAAGTGGCTTTTCCTGGGAGTTAGGGAGCAGGTGCATGAAGAGGATAAGTGGCCAAAGCTGCAATCCAGGGCTCTGCACGGGATCTCTGTCCTTTGGGGCTCGGGGAGGAAGGACGAAGAACAAGGACCCTGCTGAGCCATCCCTTGCTGCATCACTTTGTCCTCACACCCAGCTACTCGTTTGCTTCCCAGGCCCTGGGAACTGTGGCTGTGCTGCTCCTGCACTGCTGAGGGCATCCACCAAGGCTGCTGCTGCTTGAGGAACACCTCAACCAACTGGGAGTGTGATGGCTGTGCTGGCCAGGGCATGGGTGAGAGGCAAAGTATCTGGCTGCCCAGGGCTGGGGCCAGGGTCCAGGCTGGGCCTGGCAGCAGGGGCTTAGACTTGGCTTGCTCAAGGAGGGCTGTGGGCACCATGATGGCCTCTCCTGCCATGGGCCTTGGTGGCCATGCTGCTGACCTTCCTGCCTCTTCCTGCTGCCTCCAGTGACAATTTAGAGCTTGTCAGCCCCAACACTGCCAGCCAGCTGGCATCAGAGCTGTCGCATGGCTCTCTGGTGCCTAAAAGCAGCAGCGGCTCCTGCCACCCTGGGCCAGTCCAGGTTCAGCACCGACCAGGGAAACAACAGCTGGCACAAAACTCAACCAGCCTGAAAAATGTCACAGGATCAAACATGTACCAGCCCAGAATGTTGAAAGCAGCAGCCCCAGCACTGCCAGTCAGTCAGTGTCAGGGCTCTCCCATGGCACAGTTATACTGGGAAAGAGTTTGAATCTTTGGTCTCGTGCTCAGCTTTCACCCACAAGCATTCCCTGTAATGCTTCCTGCATCCGTTCTTGTCCCTATAAAATGAACAGCCAGTCTCTCTTTTAGGAGAGAAAGGCATAAGAATCTCCTCAGGACACACATGCAAACACCATGTCCCTGACAGTCCCAGCCCTGTTGGGCAGTGGTGGCTGCTGTAGCCCTGTGCTCGCTCAGTGCTTCCTGCCCAAACTCACTACAAGGGTGGCCTGCGAGTTTCTTGCTGGGTTCTGTGCTTTTGGTTTGTGTGAAGTCAATGTGCCTGGTTGGAGTGTGGCCTCATACCTTAATTGGTGGGCTCATTTGTATGCTCTGGGAAGATTTTGAGCTGTTGGGCAGGTGGGACTGAGAGCAGGGAAGGCACCTGGTTTTGGAGTCTCGTGTGATTTTGTTCGTGCAAGGACGCTGGCTCATCCCTGTTTGGTCCAGGTACATTTGCCTCCAAGAAAGGGAGAAGGCTAAAGGCAGCGTCCAGCAAGTCCTGGGCCTCCATCTGTCTTAACGTTCAGCTGCTGTCGACCCTCAAGTCCTTTTCTGCCAGACAGCTTTCCAACCTCTCTTCCCCACGACTTGAGTGTTGCCTGGGGTGGTTGTGTGTTGCGGCTGAATACCTGACAGGGCAGCTGCAGGAACCAGTCTTGTGCAGGTCTCTCTGTCACTGATGGCGGGAAAGCTGATGGGACATTGAATGGATCATTAAATCCAAAGCTTTCACTATTTTTCCTTGACGAGTTGAGACCCTGTGGTCAACCAAACTACCCGTAGTTGTGATCAAAAGTACACCTGTAGCTCAAAGTTTCTGGAACACCTCAGTTACAGAATTTGTCTCCGAGTCCCAATTCTCATGCTCATTCACTCTCTTTCCATTCTAGCTGTTTATTGGAGTGCTCCTACTGCATTTTATCTCATCTAATTCCCTCTCCCAGTCTCTGTAGTAATCCAGTTTTAATGTCCTTTTTTTCTCCACAGCAACTTGCCTGATCTTGGCATTATTTCCAAACATTTGAAGATAAAAGAGGAAGTGACTGAGCACATACTGAAGTTCATGGTAGCAGGACAAAGGTGATGCTCATATTGGAACTGAGAAGGATCTGCCTGGATCCAAGGAAAAATAAGTTTACTTAGATGATAGTTAAGTTTCAGAACAGGTTCAAAGTTGTGCACTCACCAGTTTTTGGACCTTTTCAAGATCCAAGTGGACAAAGCCATGAGAAATCTGATCCGAATTCTGGGCTGACCCTGCTTTGAGCAAGAGACTGGACTATAGAGCCAGCCTGAGAGATCCCACAACTCTCTGAGAGCATTGCCAGACCTCTGTTCTACAGTTCTGTAAGTTGCTACTAAGTATTGGAGAATTGGTTTGTTATGGTTTGGGGTTTTCTTTTTTGGACTTGCCTAATCTAATTTATTGAAGAGGGTTGTCCCTCAGATTCTTACCTTTGTTATTCTCCCTCTTTTATAATTTCAGCTTCCTTCCCTGCCTCTGTTTTTTACACTTTTGCCCTCAAGTTTGAGAATACAAAAGCCTTTAAAGGAATGAGTTACTAGAATTTAGTAACCCTGGCAAACTATCCAGTATTCTCTTTGATACATTTTTGAATTGAACTGTTTTGGCTGAGACTTTCAGAAAATAGTAATAATAATCTGGAGGCAAACACTCAGGAGAGAAAATTGTATCGTGATCTATTGTAGTTCCTTAAAGGGCAAATGAAAACTGTGTTATAATTAGAAGTAGGAACAGCTTCATCTATGATAAAGCTGATTGGGGGTTTCAACTATGATCTAAATCAATAAGAGATTCCTAGTAAAATGAAAAGGAAAATGTTTTTTTAATCAGAGGCATTAAAGAGATGTACTGCTAAACTTTCCCTGGAAAAATGGTTTGTGTATGTGTGCTTCTCTACACTCATGGACATGCAGGTACCTACCTGGAGAGGCATGAGGGAAAGCTTCCCTCCCCTCTTAAATGTAGCATGTAATTAAGGAAGCAAACTTAGTGTTTCAAATAAATATTTAGATATAGATATAAATATTTCAAATGAGAGATGAAGTTAATTGTAAGGGCTTTGTGTAATACAGTCAAGGATTTTGACTTAATCTAGCAGTTTGAAATATATTTTTATAATAATTATTAAGAATGTTGGGATGGCACAGTCCTTTATATTATACTTGTAAGAGATTAATTTGACTCATCTTAATGTTAGATAATTTAGCTAGCAATTTTAAAAATGCTAAATGAAGTGCAAAGGCATTGCAAATATTTTTAAAATTATGTTTTTTAAGCAATTTCAGTTTTTCTCGAATAACATTTTCCAGTATATTAATATTATATGGAATATAAAATGAATTATTGAGTTAGGTCCACACATTATTGATTACTATCCATCCTTGCAACTATTTATAGCATATACTTTTTTCATGTCTCAAATGTGTTTAAATTTTCCCTGGAGCTCAGTATCATTGATATTTTTAGTAATATTACTGTACAACTCACATTCAGTAAAACTTCACCTATTTATAGAGTTCAAAACCACTAAGTAGTGTAGAAAAAGTCTTTTGTTTTTCTCTGATTGGGATTTGGGTGTTAAATCTCACTTTGAAATCTTGTTCCGTGGTAAGGGAATCTAAACCTGTTGCTGAAATTTTCATTAGTTTTATAAGGAGAGGATTGTTTTGACAGAGACTCTGAAAAACTGAGTGGGTGAATTGGAGGGCAGGAGAGTCACCGAAAATGTCTTCAGTGAATAGACATGTAAAATTCCATGTGTTACAAACAGGGCTGGTACTGGGCTGTCCTGGGAGAGAGAATGTCAGGGAAAAAATGGTTGTAAAGCTCACTGCCAGTGGTATGGGTAAAATAACATAATAATGAAGAAAGAGTCAGAATCAGCAGGTGCTGGTGGTGCCTTTCCCTCACGTCACCTCCATGTTCCTGCTGGCCCAGTCGCCCTGGGCCCGGCCCGACAGTGGTTTATTGCCACCAAATTATTTCCATCCTTAGTATCCGGGGCTGAAGGGTGTCCACGATGGAGCAAAAACAGCAGGGAGGGCATTCCACGCACCAGTCCAGGCTGGGGGCTGAGCTGCTGGGAAGCAGCTCTGTGGAGAAGGACCTGGGGGTGCTGGTGGGGAACCCGGTGTCCCTGACCAGCAGTGTGTCCTGGGGGACAAGGCGAGGGCGTCCTGGGGTGCGTGAGGAAGGGCACTGCCTGCAGATCAGGGAAGGGATTCTGCCCCTCTCCTCAGCCCTTAGTCCAGTTCTGGGCTGAGGAGCTGGGCCTGTTTAACCCAGAGAAGAGAAGACTCAGAGGGGACCTCCCAGGGAGGGACCAGGCTCTGCTCGAGGGTGCCCAGCAGTGGGACACGAGGCAATGGGCAGAAAATGGAACGCAGGAAGTTCCACATGAATATGAGGAAAAAACTTCTTTACTTTCATGGTGACTGAGCACCGAAACAGGCTGCCCAGAGAGGCTGGGGAGTCTCCCTCACTGGAGATACTCAGAACCCACCTGGACACAGTCCTGTGTGATGTGCTTTAGGAAGACCCCGCTTGAGCAGGGAGGTTGGACCAGATGACCCACTGTGATCCCTTCCAACCTGACCCATTCTGTGATCAGGAGAGGATACACAGCCAAAAGCCATTTTAATTGTGTGGCCTGTTCTTTATGTCTTTTGAAAATAGAATGTGCTTCTTCCTTGTCTTTTCTCTCTAGATCTCAGAGGCATTTCTTCATAGTAGCTCTGTATTTAGGCAGCTACCTCATCATTATTCATCTAAGTCATCAAAATCATAAAAAGGACTAAAAACCCTGATATGTTATAAATAAAATATGGGAAGGAGGACAGTGATAAAATAAGAGTTCATATATTTGAGGGAATACCCACCCAAAAGCTCTTACATGGCAGTTGTAATGTTTTCTTATTGTTTGAATATTGCAATCAAAGAATAAGATGCAATACGATCAATAGTTAGAGCTGAAATCTTATAGATGTGTGACAATATATGTACTCAATCTTCATTCAAAATTCACACAGTTTGTATTTCCTCCACTGTAATTGCCTCTGTAGTGTGGCTTTCAATAGCTGTAAATTAACTCTGTCATAATTGCTTTCTTTTTTTTTTTCCCCTTGAATATTTCTATCCTTGCTGTAAATTGTATTTCTGTTACTTCCAGTATTGATATTATGATGTGTCCACTAAGACAGCACAGTATCTGGACATGTATATATCTTTTTGGAATAGTTTTCTTTCACCCTCCCCCATTTTATTGGTACACTTGATTTCTCTTGGCTCTGAGCCCAGTTTGGTTTAATTTTTGTTTATTCTGTACAGGATTCCAGACTGTGCTTTGAGATGGGCACTGTATAAATTAATAAATAAATTCAGTATATGCTTGCTTTTAGTGGTTTGCTTGGCACATCTGTTTTTCAGAGGTTTCTAAATCTTCCTGATCTGCAGAAGATATCTTTAGTTACATACGATTAGGGAGAGTATCATATTTTTAACATGTACAGGGTTTCCCATTAAAAAGTCATCATTTACTAACAGTTACACTGCTCTGGCATATTGGATGCTGCAGTATGTCTCAATAGTTGGAAAGTAGAATAATGGTTCTATTAAAGACAATATGGGTATCTTAACTATGGTATATACTTGTGTTTTTGATGCTGAAAACTTGTTTTGAACTCAGAATGTTTTTAAGGATTTGTTGGGTTTTTTTTTAATAATCTCTGCATACATAAATATAGATGTTGCATCCTTTTGAAAATACTGACATCCCTTCAGTATTGCAAAAGCTTTCACAGGCAGAACTGTAACAAAACATTGTTCAACACATTGCTTATAGCCAGTTGCATTGCTTTGGCATAACCAAAATTATTTTAATGGAAAACTAGGGGCATTTCCCATTAAAAATTGCTAATTTTCATGATTATTTATGTCAAGGTATCAAAAAGCTTTTTCAAGAAATATTCAGCAAACATTGTGGCACTAAATTAAACCATAAGTAGCTCAGAAAAGAGAAGAGACTGCCACTGAGCCAGGCAGCAGTTAGAGAGCAATGGCAGAGTTGGTTCTGCAGGAGAGCAGGAGATTTGAGTTGTGCAGAGATCTAAAGCTGAGGTCAAAGACAACGTTTGTGAGGAAAGGGAAAAACCCCCATTTACTGAAGTGTATAAGTCTCAGGGGTTTCCCTTCTCATACTGAAGCCAGCATCATAAACTGCACTGCTCACAGAGCACCACATTCTTCCAGTGATGTAAATGGAACAAATAAGTTCTATTTATGAGTTGTGGGTTACAATTTTTATTGCAATACTTGAAGTGAAGGTGGAGAGAAAGGGAGGCACAGGGAGAAGGGTGGTGTGCAGATCAACATATACAAAATGAGCACTAAGGTAAGGATATCTCAGGTATCTTTTGTAGGAGATCAAATGGCATATTTTTTAAAGAATCTAATTAGACAGGTGAAGAACATCCTTTGGAGGCAATGTGGTAGGCAGAGGCATACTTGTGAATCCAGTGGACATTAGAGTCTGGCTGGAGCACTGAGTTTATCAGCACTGTGAAGAGTCAGTGCTTTTAGGCAGGCCCACGTAAGGAGCTCTCTGTGAAAGAACTATTGATGGCTATGAGGGTGGCAATCATAGCCATAAACGATGGGATTAGGTGCTAACTGAGCTTAGATTCTGAAGGATCTCAATTTTGTGTTAGTGCTTTCCTCTTATCTAAGACGGCTTATGGGTTTAACCTGAAGTCTTTAAACAGCCTCTTGCTAGTCTAGACAAGCCTTTCCAGATGTGCAATTAGTTCCTGGGTAAGAAAACACAGATAATTTCAGCAAAATCTGTGCATCTGAATCTTCACAAATATGTTCATCAGCAGTGTTTGGAGATAAGACCTTATAGATAAAATAAAAAGGGAAAATGTGTGGAAAATAAGTTCCTATTTACAAAATACACATGGTTAAAAAAAGGGAGAGAAAGAAAGGGACAGAATCATGTGTCTGGATACACCAGCACATATTAAAAAGCAGTGGTGCTGTGCACCTTAAATAAAGCCACATAAACCAACCTAAAACCTCCTCCATTTGCGGAGGGAATACATGGAAATATTTCTTTAAAAACATATTTGAAATTTAAACATTTTCTGTCACCATGACCGTAAGTAACCCAGTCCATTGCCACAGGGATGCTCAAGAGTCAGAAACATGGTGATGGAACAGAAGAAAAGGGACAAGAATGGGAGCAGATTTAAAATGGTGCAGGCAGGCAACTCTTTGAGTGGCAATGTTTCCCATTTCTTTCCTAAGCACATCCACACTTAGTTTCCGAGAAAGCAGGAAGGACACTTAGGCAAATTGCCAACCAGATGGTGCAATCGAAGAGGAGGAATGCATTCAGAAGGGCAGTATAACACAGAATTAAAAAATCCTATCATTTGGTTTTCTGCTACAATACAGGACAAAATTCACATGGAAATAAAAAATGTTAACTATACACTCATGGCTTCTAGTCATCTTTCTGTCTTGGCTTCAGAAAAACTTCCACCTTTGAGCTCTCCTGTGATATCCCCCACTCTGAAGTAATTTAATGTGTTCCAATTTTATGTTTCTTGCAGATTTTTTCAAAACTGCCTTATTATTGCCTAAATATGTTTCTGACAATATACAAAATTTCACTGTGATAGAAGGATGAAGCCGATTTTGAGGACTTGTACAGTTGTTGCTCTTATATATTATGGAGAAAAGAAAATAATACTTGCTTTCTAGACTTCTATATAATCAATAGATAAGGTAATATCAGTGTGGAATTAGTGACAGACCAAGGAATTATACCGTTTCTCATATTTCATGTAATTTCCAGTTTATTACTGAAACTACCTGGTATGTTTGCATTTTGTCTTTGGAATAATTTTATATTCTTTTTTACTTAAAATGTGTTTTTATTTCACTTACAATGTATTTTTATTTATTTCGTAATTTGGCTCTTTTCAAAACCAGACTGAGTGTGTATTGCATGTATTATGAACATATACAGATTCTCACCCTGCTCCTCTGACTTGCTTTTAAATTTCAGATGATACATATAGAAATGTGTGAAGTTTTCTAGCGAGAATATTTGATAGTTATTTTAATGTAATTTTTGCTTATTAGTAGCATAGTTTTGATTACGTGATTGGATGCAACAATTTCATGTCGATACATAATCAGAATTTGACAAATCTAGTCATAATTGAAGAGAGGAAGCCATATCCTGGCAAAAATGTAGGAGCCAGCCATCTGTCCTGAAGATTGTCAGCCTTTTTGTTATGTATTTTATGTCTATATCTTAATATTCTATAAATACATATTTGGAATATCTATCCTCTACCTTTAATCTTGTGAATGGCTCCAAATGAGATTCAGCTACAGCATGTTAACGTTACCTTCATGAATCTTAACAAGAGCTGCCTCCTTCTTTCTCTGTCCAGTCTTACTTGGTCTTCATGTAGTGCTCTTGACAAACAAATGCTTGTGAGCTACAAATGAAAAGGAAGAGTGTAATGAATTATATAAATTCTTTATTATTTTTTAAATTTAATTATGGGAGCCCTTCTTTGTGATTTCATGACTTGGATTATAGAAAGCCATGTTGCCATTTTTGTTTCTTCAGCTTCCTGAATTCTGAATCTATTTATTTATCTTGCAGATTTTTTTTTTTCAGTAGCTAAAATCCAGTCTGGTTTGTGAGAAACCAAATGTGATCTTCATTCTTTCCTTCTTGGAAATCCCTTCCAGTTATAAAGATTTTACAAGTGATTTTTGACATTGATGGGCATAGAACAAGCTCTGTTGTATTCAGATTACATTCTCTGTAGCACATGTATAACCTTATTTTTCTCCCAGGTGGTCTGAAGAATATTTGAGATTTTACCTGTAATACAGGGTTGGACAACCAGAGACAATGCTGCATTCAGCTGGTAGAACTGCCTTACTGATAGAGTCACTGTCAGGGCTTTTTGTGAAATTCACATTACTTCTGGTGGTTTTATCTGCTGGTGGAAGAAACTAAAATCCAGAAAAGGCAAGTGGAGATATAAACCCCTCAGTGACAGTTTCCAATCAGTTTGAGTTCCTCTAATCTTTTGAGTTCTTAAGTTAAATCAGCCATTGCTTGAGATTTTTTGTGTTTGTCTGAAGAGGCCAGGGGCTTATTTTTAATTACATCAAGGTCCCCAAAGGTTTTGTCTTTGTCCATGGTAAGTAGTTTTATCTCCACTTTATCTAGGTAAGAGCGAACTTCACACTTGCCAGGCTTTTCTGGGAGAGTCAACTACTTTTGAGCTACTGTTGTTTGCTAGAGAAAACACCAGAAGAACTAGCTGACAACTCATCTGTGGACAAATAGA